TGCAGGTGTTATTCAGACACACATATTACCATTGTTAATGTATCTGTGAGAATAATAAAATGAGAGAGTGGTGAGGAGAAGAGGAAGTAAAAAGTAAACAAAAAATAGAGAAAGATAAGAGAGAATAAAGACGGAATTGCTGAGACAAAGGCTTGTTAAATAAAGATGAACCAGCAGGTAAAAACAAGAAATGCAGTCAGATGAGAGAGAGAGAGAGAGAGAGAGAGAGAGAGAGAGAGAGAGGAGAGAGAGAGAGAGAGAGAGAAGAGAGAGAGAGAGAGAGAAAGGGGAGAAACAGAGCAAGATAAAAAGTTTGACCCAGTAGAGAGTGTCACATCGCCGGAGAGAGAGGCATGAAACCCCCCCCCTTTTTTTTAACCCTCAGTAAAGAGGAGTAACTACACGCTGTCATAAGTGGAAGGGAATTGCCCCTTCTTACTCACAGTAGGGGAAGTTGGGAACTTTTACTGAAACTTTACTGACATCTCCCGTTGCTACTTTACTGACTTTACGTTACCGCTAATTTACCTCCGTATTGGGTAAATTGGAGTCTGCTCCAATCTTCTCGGTATCACCAGTGTAGATGAATGGTTCAGAGAACCGACATGTTTATAAATTAGACATATGTGCAACCCGGGGATCTTTATTGTGGAAACGTTTCGCCACACAGTGGCTTTCTCAGTCCAAAACAAAGAAGAATAGTGAAGATCGGGAGACTGAAGTAATCAGTCCCTCATCCTGGAGTCGATGTAATTAGTCGATCAGTCTTGACAAGGATACATCCTGCGACAAAAGGGACTGATGAAGCCACTGTGGGGCGAAACGTTTCCACAATAAAGATACCCATAAAGATACTGAAGATAGTCTGATAGTCGGTCTTACAATACTCTTTATTGTTGAATAAAATGATGAGGGGAAAGCGAATGGTCTCTCTCTTCAAAGTTGTATTTCACAGTTTATACACAGCGCTGTATGACCCTTGTGAGTTTAGCGCTTGGTTTTGATAATAATAATACAGTTTGTTCAAAACGCTAACTTAATAGAGATACAGCAAAATACGTAACTTGTACAGTTTAACTGTTGGTCACTGTAGAGAATATTATAGAACTTATGGGGATTACATAATGAACTATTACAGAACTCGATAATGGAGAATACAGTGTGTGTATTATACTCTCACAGGCTGTATAATGCACACACACACACACACACACACACACACACACATACACACACTGGAAGACAGGAGGGTTAGAGGAGACATGATATCGACATATAAAATACTGCTAGGAACTGACAAGGTGAACAAAGACAGGATATTCCAGAAATGGGACACAGAAACAAGGGGCCACAATTGGAAGTTGAAGACTCAGATGAGTTAAAGAGATGTTAGGAATTATTTCTTCAGTCATAGACTTGTCAGGAAAGTGACGTAGTGGAGGCAGGATCCATACATAGTTTTAAGACAAGGTTTGATAAACGTCATGGAGCAGGGAGAAGGAGGACCTAGTAGCAACCAGTAAACAGGCCTGGCCAGGAGCTATGACTCGATCCTTGGAACCACAATTAGGTGAGTACCCACGCCAGGAGCTGTGAATCAACCCCTTCAACTACATATAGGTGAGCACACTCAAAGCAAGCCACCTGTCTATCAACGAGTGTCTTAGCCAGATGGTAACTGAGTCCAGCTCACACCGAAAGCTCCACCTGCTCACCCCAGTCAGACAGAGCTCTCTTCTCTGCAGCATATCTCCCCACCGACTCTCTCTGTTCCTCGCCTCCATTGCCTTATAAAGGCTGGTATATCTCCCCTTCCCCACACCCCTCCCTAAGGGGGTTTCCCTTGGGAAAGACAGCATACTGTACAATGATGGTACAGAATCCAGGGGTCCCCAACCTGCGGCCCGAGGGCCGCATGTGGCCCTTCTAGGAAATGGATGCGACCCTCACTTGAAATTATGAATTCATTTTTGTGTAGGTTCCACACTGCACAGTGTACCTGGAGTATACCTGGAGAGGGTTTCGGGGGTCAACGCCCCCGCGGCAGTATCAGCAATTACAAAAATTTATTGTTATTAATAAAAACTACAAAAATACAAAATACAGCCCTCCTTTAAATTTGTTTTTGAAATTGTCTATAGATTATTACCCTTCCGTCCTTCGTTACAGTTTTTGAAGGAATAAGGCAAACAAGAGGCAACCAAATAAGACAGGAGATTAAAGAGAGAGAGAGAGAGAGAGAGAGAGAGAGAGAGAGAGGAGAGAGAGAGAGAGAGAGAGAGAGAGAGAGAGAGAGAGAGAGAGAGAGAGAGAGAGAGAGACAGTACAAGTGTGTTTCTCACGTGGACTCTTCCTAGTATTTTGAGTGTGACTTTTTTGCTGCAGTTCAAGAAATGTAAAACAGAGGATCGAGCCCCCACAACCCTTGTGTTTGAATTACCTCCTAGGCACACATCCCTACAGGTTTAGCGCTTCGTTAAATTCAGTACAACTTTGGTCACTTAGTACATCCTCGCTACTGTCTTTGTGTCTCTCCCTTCTCTTCGTTATTTCTGTCTTCGACGTTGGGTTATCCTCTTTCATCATCTTCCTTTCTCCATTTCCTTCGTCTTGTTTCTTCTCATCCTCTTTCTTTTATCTTATCTTTTTTATTCATTAAAATTTTTTTCTTCTATCTCCTTTTCTTTTACCTTTCTCTTCCATTTCCTGCTTACTCCCCTTTTCTTCATCTTCCCTTCTCGCCCCCCCCGTTTCCTTCTCTTTCT